CTTCGCGCTTGGGCGCAAATGATGCTACTCAGGCCACAAATAAACTATATGCCCTCCAAAAGTCATGTGATTGTCCTATTGTAGCCTAAAAGGAATTTGACCTGTACAGCACACACTGCACAGTGTATATACAATTCTGGATTTGACCCTCTTTAGCCCAAAATTGCCAAGTCTACACATGTTTTCACCTGAATAATTTTGACGCTGAACCTCTTTTTTTATCCTCGCTAGGTGGAGCAGCTACTCAGAGAGCTTCCAGTGGAGCCCAAGAAGGGGCTAAAAGAGCAGCAACAAACAGTGTTATGGGAGTGAGTCTACAGGTTCGTTGAAGTGAAATTTTGTGTACCACTTGGATCACTAAATCCAGAGTGACCCTTTCCAGAGCACAATACATGTATGTCACTGTTTGCAGTCAAAATTATAATAGTTTTCCAAAGCCTTTAGACATTAAATACAGTTTTATATGTGGAAAATGAAGACATGTACATGTACATGCATGCAGGGTTGCCACAGGTCAGGAAATGGTCAGGGGAAAAAAAAAAAAACACTTCTTCAAGGTAGGGAAATTGAGGGAATTTTATTTTGAGTTGAGGAAAATTGACAATTTGAATAAAATTCGGGAGAATCGAAATAATTTAACACGGCTGATTTAATACCTTTGAAGGCTGGAAGAAGTATTCTGTGATCTCAACAATATTTTTCCTTAATGAAGAAGGGAATTTTGCTGAAAACGTTTTAGTCTTAGAGTAATGAATGAGTAGAAAGGATGAATTTAAGTTCACACGAGAAGTCTCTGCTATATCTGACATTTTGTATTTATTTGATCAGAGAAATTGTATTTGTGTCAGAGAAATGTCAGGGAATTTTAAAAAGTAATGTCTTTGGCAAAAATGTCACTGGGTGAGGGGCTGCAAATAGTGAATTATGTCGCAGGCATACATTGTTCACAAAGCACAAATTGTGTAACAATCTGTGTGGAGAACTTACTAGTAAGCTTAAATGTTGTTATCCAGACATTTTGCCATATACATACATACATACTTTATTGGCTTGTCCCCACGGGGCTTTTCAGAGTGATTATGATATTGTTTGCGCTACAGTCTGCGTGAAAAATCACCGTCAAAAGCCAACTTATATTACAACAAGGAGCTTCAAACATTACTGGCCCGATCATATCAGTTGAGTGTTGTAGTGATTTGTGTTATCTCAACAGGAGGCAAAGCAAATCCTCAATGTTCAAGATGTGGACCCAGAACTTATTCAAAAGGTAACTGAATTTACATGAAAGGTTCACATCCTATCAAATCTAGCCTTGAAAACAAAATAATTGAAAGGATTACTCTATCAGAGGTCACTGAATGAAAACAGAAAGAATCAATCAAAGGAAGCAAGGAAAAGGAAAACAACAGACATGTATATATAATTAATATTTAAATGATTGTACTAAAAGACTGGGAGACAGTGATCAGTGGAAGGTATAGACTGAGGTACAGTGTATTCAGATCCTTGGATTACAGTAATAGCCCACGTATAAGAACCTGAATTTTTCAGTTTAGCCTAAACAGGTTCTTATATAAATGGTACTTAAAGCATATTTAGGCTACCAAGGTTCTTAAAA